AACCGGCAGCTCATCCGAGTGAAAGTTAAGAAACTTGTTGGTTGGATAACAGTTACCGTGTTGCAGTCCGAACGGGGCATCTCTCCACAAGTATTTTTATTGGAAAGGGCATAAATAAATAAAAAATCAAGCAGGAAGCCACTTAACTTCACGGCTTAAGCAAATTCGTCTTGAAATATTTCTTGTTTCATTTTGTTGAACCTTCCATCGACTGTAAATTTATATCTCTATATTACATCAGTGACGCAGTGTTACGCACGTAGAAAAATAGCCGCTGCATTAAACTTCAATTACCCTTTAAACATAAAAACAATCATTGCACGGGGTCGAATAAAAGAATAACATGTTTACATCCTTATGCGTGGAGGTTAAATGATGGGACGCCCGTAGAATGTGACTAATGAAAGTGATTTGGATCGAGTGTTTACGAAAAATTAGCTTCGTGACTTTCCCACCCTAAAAACAATACAGGATGGACTATTTTTTCAAATGATTGCCTGAAGGCAATCACGTTTACGCTTAAAATGTGAAAACGTTGACGAAACGCGATATTACATTGTGCGAACTTTATAATTTTTCTTTTATACGATATACCTCTCTTAGGACAACTGTTAAATTATAAGTTACTTCATTTGTATACCAATATATTTCAATTTGCATATGGATTTCGGGCTACGTCCCTGATTCTTCTCGAAAGATGTTATGATGATGAGCTAAATAGAATTCCATCGGGCCGAAATGCAGATGCGAATGAAATATATTCCATTTAAATAATTGGAGACCCTTCAGTGGCATAGGAACACACACTATTAATGAGTATCTAGACAGAAGGATAAAAAGAAAATGAAGGAACAATGGAATTCACTCATAGGACACAGGCAATCCAAGAATCTCTTAACAAATTTCGGAAGAAAAGAAATTACAGAATGTGCCAAAGGAAGCAGGAATAAACTGCGAAATCTAATAGGATTCTTAGGGACACTGCAAGCTAAATGGACACTTAAAGAAGATTGGAATATTCCAAGACGGCACATGCAAATTCTGCAAAGAGGCAGAGGAGACACCAAAACCCCTAAACTGTGGTGGCTACACTTGCCCACAGGAGGAAGTGCTTTGGGACCTACAGTGTCAACCACTGCGAAGTTTCTTGATGAAATAGGACTCACCGGTGTGCTTTAGGCACAGAACGGAGGATACAACAGCTCTTAAAGGGCACAGTATGTTACACCCGGACTGTTACATCTACATCTGCATCTGCCTTATAGTCACCGTCGGTCGATTTGCTAACTGAAAAATTATTTGCAAGTTCTCGAACAGTTGTTCTGGGAGGTTCTTCGACCAAAGCCTGCTGTGCTTTAGGCATAGAACGGGGGATACAATAGTTCTTAAAGGGCGCATTACATTACACCCCGACTATTACATCTACATCTAAAAAAATTGAGTTTTAGTTCAACAAAGCCAACAGTCTAGAATAAAAATGTTTTACGAACAAGTTAATAATACAAAAAAACAAATAGTATTATATGTTACTGTTAACATTTCCCGCTCTTTTCAGGATCACTTTGAGGTATTTTAATTTTTGTCGTGTGTGTTCTACAGCTGAACCAATAATAAAGTGACAAAAGTTTTGATTCACTGTCCGCTTGATTTTCCAATGTCCATCATAAAAAAACAATAAAGCTCATGAACGAACGACAGGGGCACAGTCAATTTTGAAGATCTGATATTAAAATATGTGGATATACAACACACACAGAGAGAGAGAGAGAGAGAGAGAGAGAGAGAGAGAGAGAGAGAGAGAGAGAGAGAGAGAGAGAGAGAGAAAGAAGAGGGAAAGATAGTGAGTGAGAAAGAATTTTGGAAAACAAAATAGTAAATAAAGAACAAGAAAATAGATGAAGAGAGACATGAATGAAATGTTGAGACANTATATATATATATCGCTCAACATAAACAACTTTCACTGAGGAAATAGGCAACTACACCAATGGCCACTTCCTAGATTTTAGCGTTTTTAAATCAATAATCAGGTATTAATATGCTTGAAAACCCTCTGGAACAGAACTGTACATCTGTTTGATGGCAAGGGTCAAGAGATATATGGTTCGGTACGAACAACATTGTCTGGACAAAGAACATAAGTATAGGATCTATAAATTACAAAAAATAAGCAATATAAAAATCAATAAAAAATTATTTAAATAATGACTTCATCGTACGTAAAGAAATTTACAATAGGTAAGGCCACGTATCCAGAATATCAGAAACAAGCTCACACGCACGCATGTACGCTCACAGTCACATACAAGTAGTACCCTCTTTCTCTTTTTGTTACTTTTATTATACTTCTTTTCTTAGTTTTCTTTATTCTCTCACTGACGGTCTTACTGCTTATTTTATAAATACTCTCTTTTCTTGGTTTTTCGTTATTCTCTCTATCTCTCTCTTACAAACTTTCTCTCTCTCTTTCCTCTCTTTCTGCTTCTTTTATCCTCTCTTATTTTGTTCATTCTTCTGTGTATCTTTTTGCCCCTCTCTCTCTCTCTTTCTGCTTCTTTTATCCTCCCTTATTTTGTTCATTCTTCTGTGTGTCTTTTTGCCTCTCTCTCTCTCTCTCTTTCTGCTTCTTTTATCCTCCCTTATTTTGTTCATTCTTCTGTGTGTCTTTTTGCCTCTCTCTCTCTTTCTGCTTCTTTTATCCTTCCTTATTTTGTTCATTTTTCTTTGTGTCTTTTGCCTCTCTCTCTCTCTCTCTCTCTCTCTCTTTTTCTGCTTCTTTTATCCTCCCTTATTTTGTTCATTCTTCTTTGTGTCTTTTTTCCTCTCTCTCTCTCTCTCTCTCTCTCTCTCTCTCTCTCTCTCTCTCTCTCTCTCTGTTTCTGCTTCTTTTATCCTCCCTTATTTTGTTCATTCTTCTGTGTACCTTTTTGCCCCCCCTCTCTCTCTTCTCTCTTTTTCTTTCACACTGCCTCTCATGCACAAACGAACAGATTTCATATTTGAACTGTATTGAAATTTTCTCTGGTCTAAACCTGCCTATAGCTAACTTCTTAAGGACTATAAATGCAATCATGAACGAGAAAAACTAACAAAATTAACATAAAGGACTGCAGTATTTACCATATTTTATTGAATCTATAAAGCTTTGACGGCGTGTTAGGAGGATTTCGACTGTCAAATGATTAGATGCACATTTAAATGATCACATTTATACCTCGTCGACTTCTCTTGACTATATGTCACGACGTGACTTAATTCGTTCTGATTTATTATACTGCCTAGAATAAATCTGATCCTCTGCCTTTATACATATTTTAAGTCATTACAATATACGATTAAACCAGTTTTACCAGTTCGTAATTATGAGCATGTCAAAAAAACAAAATTTGGGAAAAAATACCGAGGAAGTGAACATCGGTTGGGCAGGCTAATTGCAAAACGTTTAATTAGCGAAAGTTAAAAGCGGAGAGACGTTTAAATTTAAGCTCTCTTTCTAATAAACTTTCTTCCCAACTTCACGACACCGACAATTCCCCGTATGAAACGGCGGAAGGGGGCGCCTGACAGAGGAATGACCCATCGTTTCCAGACGAAGGATCAGCGCCGGGCGACAAACCTTGTCTTTCCTCTTAACCTTTCTATTACAATAAAAGAGGAAGTAATAGCGGTTTATTGAGAGCGAAACAGTTTTGTACCCATTTAAAAACGTTGTTTTTCAATAGCAAATGTTATTAAAAACTATCGAGAAGACACGGGATAGTATGCTATTACACCATTAGCCCGACGTCCGTCGGTTCGAACTACGTGACCGCAGTCTTTTCAAATCGTTTTTTCCAGAAAATACCAGAAATCTAATTTTTCGCCTTGTTTAGAAAATTAAACGATAAAATTAAAAAGTCGTTGTAAATAGGTCAGTCATTAGACCTAATTTTGGACTTTCCATAAAGGAAATTCTTATTACATAGGAATTTTGACATTTCAAATATTTGAAATTCTACTAAAGAAAAGTCTTGTTGAATCGTATAATTAAAGTCGATAAATCTTCTTCCGACAAAAGGGGTTTGCATGAAAAAGAAGAATTTATGGAAAGATGAGTGGAAAGTAAACTCTTCCTGTCTAATACGACGTCAGTTACGACAGAATGATCATAACATCCGAAAGAAATTTATTTCCTGTTTGAAAATTTTTTTGTTAATCCATACGTGTTTAAAGCTTAATGGTGTGGGCGTATTGTAACGTGATAAGATTAAAAAGAAAGTTCAATTAACTTAACGAATTAATTTAACCCCCTGTACTAATTTATCAAACCACTTTTATTTTAAAAAATTCATATATGGCTAAACTATTATGGAACGTGATTTAATTGATATACTCTGTAAGTTTTTAAGTAAGATTTGAAAGTTTGAGCAAGTGTTGACAAAGTTTCACACTGAACGATTTGTGATGACGCTCTATGGGAAACAGGAAGTGAAACTTTGTGTATGCCTCTTTTACAAAAATAATCAATGTTGTCATATTATTATAGTATTTTGTTGTATTGATTATTGCTATAATGTAACTTTATCACTGTTGGTTCCAAAAGTGGTATTCTTTCTTAAAGTGTTTTTGTTTATTTTCAAATGAAAGATTATTACTTATAAGTTATTACTTAGAAGTTTTGGTACTATAATACAAAGGTATTTTTTTTCTTCAAATAAATAGATGTCGATAGTAGGAACAAAATAGTAAGCCATATTGAAATTTGGTGGAACTTGGAAGAAAAGAAAATTTTTGTTGGTTCGTAAATCGCTTGAAAGTACTTACAAAAAGGCGATAGCAGCTGCAACAAATTTCAATGATGACTTACCATTCTCTTCACAAAAGCCGCGAAAAGTTGCCCCCCCCCCCAGAAAAATCCATAATTTGTTATCCAATTTGGGTCCAATGTCGGAACGTAGCACATACTTAGGCCTAAATAAAAATTACGATGAATTTTTTTTCTTTGTATTTTGTATTCTTACCAAAACCACATGTTGCTCCGGAGGAAGTCACTAGACTGGAGTCGGATTTCTTGCCGAAGCAGACGTTTGTGAGTGTAAACTGCGAGTGGGGGCAGGTTCTCCCTTTCTCCTGTACGATGTCCTCCCCCAAGAACCCTTTCGATTTCGTTGAGGGCGTTTATAAAGAGAGAAAAAAAAGATAAATTTATATCTGCAATAAAAATCTTATTCACCCTGAAGATAAATGAGGTGCGTAATGTTCTAAAAATAAATTAAGTTTTCAAACTGATCCATTACCATAAATTGCTTTGTGTAATTTTATAAATGGCATTTTTATTAGTAACTTCTTCGCTCGACCTTGTCTATTCCCGCTTGTTGTGCTGCCAAACGATCATGAGATACAAATCCATCCTGGATCGAGAGACAATCGGAGACAATCGAACTGCAAAGTTCATCTCGCTGGCCGTAAATTTTCCTCCTTTTATTGAAAATTCTCTTTTGTTTTTGTTCTTATCATTTTGACAACGAACATAAAGTGATTTTTACATATTTATAAAATAAAATCAAAAATCGCAGGACGAGTTAAACGTGATTATTTTGCGGTATTAAGACTGGTGACGGTCGTGCTTCAAACCTTCGTGATTTTTCAATTAATCAATCTTTATGTAAGGTATGGGTTGAGATGAAAAAGTCAGTGTCACGAGCGGGATTCGAACCTACGTCCTTCGATACGCCGCTGCTCTACCACTTGAGCTATCCTGACTTCGATCCACTCGTACACTAACTTCCCACTTCAACCCAACCTTTCGAATTTTCCCTCCTTTTTGCCATTTTTCTTTCTGATTTTGATGACCTGGAACCCAAAAGGATTTTTGTATTAAGTAAATATTATTCTAATAGATTTTAGATAATTCTAGATAAATTTGAAAAGCTAATTGATCTACCTGAGGTAAGTCAATCTTCATAAATACCGGATGTATTTTCACACAGTTCCTTTCTTTTCTCTTGCATTTGATTTTACCTAAAACGAAAAAAATTAATTTAGTTTTGATAAAGTCTTTAAATTGTCCAACCATTACAAAAAACTAAAATTGGTTAGAGATAAGTGGAAAAGACGCTACATACAAATACACATTTCCACTTCCTTACTTCATTATTAATTAAATAGATAAAATAATTATTTTATCTTTTCTTAACTACAAAGAGAAGGGACTAATAGTAATCAGCGATAATAAGCGGATCCAAAGATTACTTCTTCACAAGGTTCAAACGAATTGCTAAAGAATCTTTTTTCTTTTCATTGTCCTTAATACTACTTTCTGGTTTCAGCGAGTCGTCTTCATTTATGCTCTTCATTCAAAACTCAAGAACTTTCATCTCGGAAACTATGTTCTCTCGGTTATTTTGTAATAATACATTTGCTTTCACAGATCTGACACGAACGTCGCAGTTGGGAAGGAATCGATTTGCCTTGGGCCCGGTCAAGAGGTCGTGACCATGATACTGGCCAAGAGAAAGAATGAGTTGCGTAGGCTGAAACAAGAAAGTGGAACATGGGCTGCCTTTTATAAAAGAGTGAAAGATGAAAATTTATTTATATCCGATCTCACTCGCCCTCCAATTTGTTTTACTTACCCCCGAAGCCGGTCGAATCTGATCCTACACGAATTTTTCTTATGCGGATGGTGTTTTTGGAATGGAAATTTGTACTACCTTATTTCTGAAAGCTCACTTGAATACATTCGAAAAATGCGACTGTATATATAAAACTTGTATATATGTGTGTACATATATAAAAAATGTATAATACAAAACTACTGAACTGATTTCGATGAAACTTTCACACTTTGTTTTTATTAGTGTCGGGCGGGTTTAGAGACTATAAAATGGACATAAAACAAATAATGGGCGTCAGGATGTACGAAAAAGAGAAATAACACTTTGCATTTTCCCCCTGGCAACGCCGGATTATAAAAGTAGATATTTAATAAAAACAAGAAATAAAATATATGATATAGATAGAAAATAGAGAAACAGAGAGAGACAGAGAGAGAGAGAGAGAGAGAGAGAGAGAGAGAGAGAGAGAGAGAGAGAGAGAGAGAGAGAATAATGGGAGAAAAACCAACTGGGCAGAAACNAGAGAGAGAGACAAAGAGAGAGAGAGAGAGAGAGAGAGAGAGAGAGAGAGAGAGAGACAGAGGAAGAGAATATAAGGCTATAAGATCATATAAGGAGTAGAGTTAGAGGAGAGGTAAGTTGGCACATAAATAGAAAGATAGAGAGAGAAAGATGGTAGGTACAATAGATGGCAATAGATGGACAGTTAGATAGAGAAAGAATGATAGAGGGAGGAAGAGAGTGTGAGAATAAGCGTGGGAGAGAGAGAGAGAGAGAGAGAGAGAGAGAGAGAGAGAGAGAGAGAGTGAGTGAGGCAGGGAGTGAGTGAGTGTCCTTTTTTAGGAAAAGAATTTGAAAAAATCAAGAATTACCCTAAATACAATGAATGTACAGTACGGCTTGACTTGGTAGTTAACATGTTTCTTTGTTTTTATTCCGTACTAGTTTTCTTTCAGTTTTCTTAAGTTTACTTATTTTCAAGAACATCGTCAAAATAACTAAATAGAATGGCAAAAACAAGTGTTTTGGTGTGTGACATCTTATGATGGAATGCTGATCTAAACGTTAAGCGAGTATTTAACATTTATGTAGACATCTCTTTTGCTTTCTCGCTCTTCTTTCTTTTACAGTACACTTTTATACACTTATAAAAATTTGTTCTAGAAACCGAAGAGAAAGTACTTCGTAGAAAAGTCATTTTATCGTCGTATACGATTGCGTACTTTGGTATGTTCTCTTATTTTCTAGATGACTAGCATTTATTAATGGTTGCCTTTATAAATTTCAACAAGGACTTTTTAGCTTTATAGAACCAACTAGTGTTTTTGAATTATTGAATATTTGTGATGGGACATGTATGCAGGTAAAAAGGATGATCATATCGGGCAAACTTTGGTGTAACGACAATAATTGCTAATTATGACTGTTATGTTTGGTTTGTCCGGAAAATAATGCAGGTTTATGGTTATAAAATAACAACAATTAAATAAATTATTTTGAATATTTTTTTATTAATAAATCCATCACTCTCAATACACTTCTCCCAACGTGATGGCAACGTCTATATACCATCTGAAAATAATTTTGATTCTTTATTATTAACAAATTCTGTAAACGCGTTATCGACTGACTTCATGATCAATAGTATTTTTTATGTTAAAACGATGTCCAGGTGTCTGAAAAATGGCACTCAGTAGGCGAGAGGTCTGGAGAATAGGGAAGGTGAGGCAGAATCTCATAAGCTAAGATCCAAAAGTTTTCATGTGACATGTGAGACAAGGGGCCGTTATCGTGTAACAGAATTTTCCGATTGACCGAAGATGGCTTCAATGCCAATTTGTGATGCATTGCTTCAATTTAAGAGCAATACATTTCGGACTCAAGAAGTTTTAGTAAATCAGCGCAAATGAAGCTCACCAAAGTGTCCTTTCATCTATTTTTTTATGTGTTCGGGCGGGGGGTGGAAAATGTGGTGCTGCTTCTCCCTTGTCAAGCCACGGTCCAGAACGTCTGCTACAATCCTAGAGAGTCAACTTTTCACCACAAGTAACAATTCTAGCCAAAAAAAATTATTTCAGTTTAGGCAAAGAGGTGTAGGTAAATTTCATGATCATGATTTTTTGGCGGTCGTTTTATACACGAGGAACCCAACTTTCGAACTTTTTTCACCTTTTCAATTACCTTTGGGTGGAACTGCAAAACCAAATTAACCATATTAGGTACGCAGAACAAAGTCAGCCTCTGCTGGGTCCCAGGACATACGAGAGTAGAAGGCAACGAAAAAGCGGACACCCTTGCAAGAAAAGGATCTGCTACACTGCTGATAGGACCCGAACCCTTCTGTGGCATAGGTACACACACTATATAATCAGTATCTAGACAGAAGGATAAAAAGAAAATGAAGGAACAATGAAATTCACTCATTGGACACAGGCAATCCATGAATCTCTTGACAAATTTCGGAAGAAAAGAAATTACAGAATGTGTCAAAGGAAGCAGGAATAAACTGCGAATCCTAATAGGATTCTTAACAGGACACTGCAAGCTAAATGGACACTTAAAGGAATAATCCCAGACGGCACATGCAAATTCTGCAAAGAGGCAGAGGAGACACCAACACATCTCCTAAGAATGGGGGATACAACAGCTCTTAAAGGGCACAGTATATTACACCCCGACTACATCTACATCTCCATCTGCCTTAGGGTGGTCACCGTCGGTCGATTTGCTAACTGAAAAACTGCATGTTCTCGAACAGTTGTTCTGGGAGTTTCTTCGACCAAAGCAGAACATCATCATCTAGGGAAGAAATCCTTCCATGACTTTTTTTCTCTTCAAGGCTAAAGTCTCCCTCTCGAAAATTTTTTAAACCACCTCTGAACGGTACTTTCACTCACAATGTCCAGACTTCATTAATGTTTCTGGCAGTTTGGGCATCGTTTCGATCGATTTTAAACTCGTAAAACGAAATTTCGTGATAATCTTTATGTAAGGTAGTGATTGAGATAAAAAAAGTCACGTCCCAAGATTGAAAAATGGCAAAAAGGAGGGAAAATTCAAAGGGTTGGGTTGGAATGGGAAATTGGTGTCCGAGTGGATCGAAGTCACGATAGCTCAAGTGGTGAGCAGCAGCGTATTTAGCCGAAGGTTGTGGGTTCGAATCCCACTCGTGACACTGACTTTTTTCAACCAATACCTTACATAAAGATTAGTTAATGGAAAGATGTTACTTGGTCAATCGGACCACTAAATCTAATGAATTTCGTGATAATCACGCGTTGATATCTCAGTAAAGAATGAATTATTCCCAAATGCTTCTGAGGTAAACTGACATTTTTTATTTGAAAGAGGATTAAAATGTGCTGTTATATTTACAAAAGAATAATCCAACAACCGGAAACAGTGTATTATATGGGGGGTACTTGAAAGAAAACAACAATTTTCCAAACAGCCCCAGTTTGAAAATTTCTATCGGAAATCGCCCAAAGAAG